TTCTTCCCTTTTGGTTTTCTAACTCCAGGTTTTTTCACATTTCATTATAGTAATTGGCTTTGTCTGCTTGAGCTGCTCTTTGAAATCTTCTGTTTAGCTCTTTTATCTTGTCGTTTCTTCCATTTGCTTTAGCTACCCTTCACTGAAGGGCACGTTTCAGAGTTTCTTCTGACATCCATTTAGGTCTTTTCTTTTTTTCTCGTATTTTTAATGACTTCTTGCTTTCTTCACGGATGATGTTCTTGATGTCATCCCACAATTCCTCTGGTTTTCAGTCATTAGTGTTCAATGCATCAAATCTATTCTTTAGATGGTCTCTAAATTCAGGAGAGATATATTCAAGGTCATATTTTGGCTCTTGTGGACTTGTTTTAATTGTCTTCAACTTCAACTTGAACTTGCATATGAGCAGTTGATGGTCTGTTCCACAATCAACTCCTGGCCTTGTTTTGGCTGAAGATATTGAGCTTTTCCATCACCTTTTGCCACAGATGTAGGCAATTTGATTACTGTGTATTCCATTTGGCAAAGTCAGCATGTATACCCACCATTTGTGTTGTTGAAAAAAGGTATGTCCAACCTCAAGCCTCACAGCAACGCACAAGCCATCACAGGATGACAACTGACAGACAGGTTTGTCTCCTTTAGCTTTTGGAAACCTCTCCGCCCTCTCCTTACATAATTCCTACCTTGATCCTGCTGCTTTGTTGTCCCCAGCGGTTCCCTCCCTTTCTAGCCTGGGGGGTTGGGTCCCACTTCCCAGCCCCTTACCTGGATCCTGAAGCTTTGTTATAGAATTTTTTCTATAATATCATTTATAATAAAGAAAAAAATAGCATAACCTAAGGGATTGGGTGAATTAAAATATGGTATAATCATGTGATAAATAAAAGAAACAAAATCCAACCTGTTGCCACTGAGTCAGTTCTAACTCATGGCAACCCCATGTCTTACAGAGCAGAATTTTCCATAGGCTGTAATTTTAATTTTAATATTAATGGAAGCAGATTGCCAGGCCTTTCTATTGAAGTACCATTGAGTGGGTTTGAACAGCCAAACCTTAGGTTACTAGTTGAGCACAAACTATTTGTGCCACCTAGAGAATTTAAATAGGTGATAAACAGGACAAATTATTAAAATTTACTGTGAAAGAGTAATCTGGAAATGTCCCCATCAAATTCTTTGGTAAAAAAGGAAGTTTATAAAATTTCACTCAAACACACACACAAATAACATAGAAATAATATAGCATAAATGGTAATATGAATCTCTAACAAGAGTAATTGCAGGATATATTTACTTTCTCCTTTCTTTCCTCAGGACAGTCTGCTTAGTTGTCATGTCTCTTTTCTATATTTTCAAAAATTTCTATAAAAGATGTGTATTATTTTGTAACTGGTAAAAATAATACAATAAATATGATTTCACATATGCCTTACTTAGCAAAGAAGGTGCCTTCAGTAGCCCATACTCACTTTAGGCAATAGCAACAAATACTAAAATTATTGATTGAGAGAAACAGGATTTCACAGAGCCACATGCTTAGAGCAGAGGTAAAAATTAGGTGTCAGATACACCCATACTTTGGTAAACTGTATAAGGATTTCCCATCCTAGCCCTTTTCTCAAGTATCTCTCTCCTACATTAAACCAAACCAAAAAACCAAACTCAGTGCCATCAAGTCAATTCTGACTCACAGCAACCCCCTTTTGGAATTCTGATGCAGTAAATCTTTATGGATATAGATCATCCAATCTTCCTTCTGTAGAGTGGCTGGTGGTTTTGAACCACCAACCTTCTGGTTAGTAGTTAGATACCTTAGGCCCTAGGCCACCAGAGCTCCTTAGGTACTCGGATATCAAAATTTGTCCCCAACTAATGTGCTGTCAAGAGGAGACTGTGCAGATTTTAGAGGTAATAGTTGCTTGGGCCCAGCTATGCCTGTTCTAGTGTCTTCCATATGCCACACACTCTCACACCTCCATCCTGTGTGCAGGTGTCCCCTGCCCAGCAGGTCCTCCAATCCCCATCTGGAAGGCTCTTGCCTGTTCTTTAGGCTGTTAAAATGGTACTATTTGGAGACCCTCCCCAGATCCCACCAAGTCCTCTCAGCTCCTGCTCCTGCACAGGGCATGGTGCAGTGTGCTGGGCTCTGCATATACTGGTCGACCTGCTATGATGACAAGCAGAAAGAGACCATGTAGTTTGTTTGTTTTTTCTCTCCAAATATCCAGGCCTGGAGCACATCACAGGGACATCAACTGCTAATTCATGGGTACATGTGTCAAGCATTTTATGCTCACTATCTCCTATAAAGCCTCTATAATGGAAGGTTTGTTATTCTCATTTTATATATTGGAAAACTAAGACATAGATAAGATAATAACTTGCCCAGGATTATTGGCTCCAAAGACAGTAAATGTGTGTTTCTATACAATTTTGGGAACCAGACCTGCTTAGTCCTACAGGCTATAAAAGACCCTGTATTCTCGGTATCCTCTCAATAGCCCCCAGACTCAGCCCCTACACTTCTCACCACTCCCAGAGATCTGTGACCTGAAGAAGATGCAGTCTGTAGAAATCTGAACTTAAAGCAATTAGAAGATGTGTGTGTCTTCTTTCAAATGTTTATGACTCCACAAATAGCCCTGTGCTAGGGTGGATATGGGAATAGGGAGGAGAAGAAATGAATGAAAATGGAAATCAGGGCCCTCTCCACTCAGGTTGCTAAGAAGCTATTGGGAAGCAAAGCTGTGTGAGGCTTCAGGGCACAGTAGGATTGCAGCGCCACATTCCAGCCTGAAAAGCAGCTCTCCAGCAGGACTCAGGACAAGCTGCTTAATTGTCATGTCTCTTCTATAATATGGAAGGGAGTGGTCCTGGGAATCCAGGGAGAATATGACCAGACAGACTACAGGGTGGTAGGGTGAGGGCTGATTGTTCTGGGCAGCCCTTGAGGGCTCCTATTGACTATGCAAGAACACAGTCTCTCCCAGAAAGGAACACCAGGACCATGACTGAGGACAAAGGGTCATAAAGGGTGCACAGGCAGAAAGCCACTGTGTTGTAAGGGGGTGTGAAGGCTTTGGGGCACACCAGCCCAAGAAACTTACAAAGGGAAATGAGCCACAGAAAAAAGATTAGAAGAGAAGCCCATAGGTGGTTTGATTGAGTGAGTCACTTGTCAGGGTCCACATTATCAGAGCTAACAGTGACCAAACTCCTTCTGTGTGCATATATCCCTGCCTCAGGGGTCACTCCAGGTCTGACCTCCCACAGCTGACCTGAGCCTTCTCGCTGCACCCCGGAATCCCAGGGGTCTGTGCCCAGTGATGCCAATACACTCTTGTTTGAAGAGGAAGCCACCTCCGTGGAGCTGTAGAGAGGATCTAGACACACGGTAGGAGCCTCCTGACTTGCCAGGTCACCAAGGATGGCCAGGCTGAGCCATTGTTCAGGGCTGCCTTGTAGGACCTTGGCTCCACGCCCCATTGAGCCCCAGTACCAGCCAACATTATACTTTTCATTTTCTTTCTTTGCCATGTAGACATGCACACAACATGCCCACAGGGACAAAGCAAACATGTCCACCACCAAGATGCCCCTTTCAAACACTATCATCGACACATCTCTACTTAGCCATCTGAAGGTAAATGACCACCCTGAAGTCACCCATTACATACACAGAAAAGCAAAAGCTGTGTCTGCCCAGGGGCTCCACTCTGCCTAAACCTGACTTTCCAATGAGTAAGTTCCAGCAGCCCTTTATTCCCAGCTGCATTGTTATGTGGGCCAAACCCTCCAGCTTCTGACTATAGTTCTGCCTTTCATAAAGGCACATCTTCCCCTGCTCAGCCTGCCACACCACTCCCACTCTAGTGCAGAGGCAGGGTGTCTTGCTTTACAGATGTACATCTTCCCCCTTTTATTTCTGTGGCTGCAGTGACTTACTCTGGACCCTTGCTCTATCACTGTCAAAAACTCTTGATCCTCCTTTCTGATTTAGTGATGCTATTTACAGGTTAACATTTAACCAAATTCAGGACTTAAATCCAGATCAAAGGCCCAGCACATGCCTTGTCTGCACACCTTCTTCCAGAAGAAATCATCTGGAGGCTTCAATAGCCACTGCCCATGCCCCACAAGTCAATGAAGCAGCATATTTCTGGCTTCCATGGACCCTGCTATGTGGGGTTTCTATCTAGGGATGAACCCCAACTGCCACCACTGCTGATGGCTATGGTCTTACCATGTCACTAAGTCACAGGCCTGTAAGTCCCACAGGTCATACCCTAGGGAGCATGTTTGGGTCCCTCTTCCCACCAGCTCTGGGACCCCACAAGGGGCAGAAACTCCTAGCATCCTGCAGGTCACTCTGCGCTCAGGTTTGGGGGTGGTGGTGGGAAGACAGCACAACTCAAAGCTATTCCTAGATTCTCCCTCAACTCACCAACGATTCATATTGGGATTTATCACATCTTGAATCCTTTACCCCACAATCCAGCCAGAGGCCCAGGGGCAGGGGACACACCAGGAAGTCTCTAAACTTAGCACTTCCCCTCAGCCTTCTGGTTCCTTTCTTGGGGTGGGAAACCCCTGAGGTCATATCCTGCACTCTCCCCAAAGAGTTAAAACACTGGAGTAGAACTTTGACCACTGGAACCCTGGGGGCCCTTTCTTATAATGTCAACAACCACCACCATCACAAATGGTATTTGCTTCCATGGGCCAGGCACTGGAGGCAAAGCATTTTACAAACATTATCTATATCACTCCTTGCATTATTGAACGAGGTGGACACACACACAAGTAGTACACTGAGTCACTGGGCAGAGTTGGTATTTGTGTCTGACTCTGGAGCCTGCACTTCTTCACTCCCACACACACTGCACACAGTCCGCCATAACCACCACCACCCTGCTATGAGTGCTGATCCTTGGAGATCCCAGCAGCTCTAGTGCCTCTCTGGTCCCTGCAGGGCCACTTGGCCTGGGGCTCACCATGCCTCCAGTGCACTCACGGCAGTCCTGCAAGCAGCTGATGTTTTCCCAGGTACTGTAGGCCTTCAGGCCTGCCACCAGAGCCTGCAGTGAGCGACTGTTGATGAGCTCCTTCCCATGGAAGATGTCCTCATCCAGGAGGGCCCCAGCATATCTGTGAGGAAAACCAGAGATGTGAATGGACACAGCAACACAGTCAGCACTCACAGGAAGGAGCACAAGAAATTATAGAGGCAGGCAGCCATCTGAAGTACACTCCATGACTAAAACTCTCAGTCCTTAGAAAGGTTCTCATGCCTGTGATAGTTAATTTTATGTGTCAACTTGGCTAGGCTATGATTCTCAGTGATTTGGCCAATACAGTCAAATATAATGTAATGTAATGATTTTCCACAATGTAATCTAATGTAATTAATCAGTTGAAAGAGGAGTTTCCTTAGGATGTGGTCATCCTCTAGACTATAAACAGATATTTTGGAAGAACTCAACCTCTCTTTTCACTCTGCACTGTTTCCCTTGTCTGACCTATGCATCTTGGGATGCAAGCCTGCAGAAGTCTCTAGCATTCCACCTGACTTATGGATTTTGGACTTGCCAACCCCCACAATCACATGACCTAAGGCATTTGAGTGCTAACCAGAAAGCTGGCAGTTCAAACCCACCAGCCACTCCTCAGAAGGAAAATTGGGCAATGTACTTCCATAGTGATAACCCACTGCTGTTGAGTCAGATTCAACTCATAACGACCCCTCCTTGGGTTTCCGAGACAGTATCACTATGGAAGTAGATTGCCTAATCTTCTTTCCAAGGAGTGGCTGGTGGATTTGAACCCCCAGCCTTCTGGTTAGCAGTCAAGTGTCTTAGGCACTACATCACCAGAGCTCCTCCCATAGTGATACCATCTCAGAAACCCAAGGAGGGACCGCTATGAGTCGGATCCAACACCACGGCAGTGAGTTTGTTTTTTTTGGGGGGTTATCTCTTGAAGTAAATCTCTCCTTTTTCCCTCTTTCTCACCCTCCCCCCGCCCTCTGCCACAGTATAGCAGGTAAGACATTTGGCTGCTAATCAAGTCAGCAATTCAAATCCCCACCAGCTGCTCCACAGAAGGAAGATAAAGCATTCTACTTCTATAAAGATTTACACCCTTGGAAGCCCAATAGAAATGCTATGAATCAGAATC